GTCTTGCCAGGCCCCGAGGAGAAGGCGGCTCTGCGGTGCTTGGGCTCTCGTCATTCCGCCCCCGTAGCTGCCGTAGTCGCAGCCTTCTTGAAGAAATGTTAAGGTGTTGTCAGGTCGCAGGAACGTGCACAGTCGAAAAGCTGTGCTGTTTGCGAGCACGGCTTTGCAGGCACTGCTGAATACTCCAAGACCGGTGCGGAGCTTAGGTGCTTGAGCTCCACATTTTTCTCGTAGTTGTGCGTCGCGGTTGACTCTTCCTTCTCTGAGCATCGTCCAACCGAGGCCACAGCAGTGAAGAAGAGGTTTCGTCTCAAGAGCTATCTTCGTCTTCATAGAGGCTCCTGAATCATTCGGTCAGGCGCCGGCGCCGGCGCCACCACGACCAGGACAGGGACTCGAGGGCTCTCTGGAGTTAGTGGGGTGGCTGTTGCACTTGTTGCGATACGAGGCCGAAGAGAGCCCTCCATCACCGCCGCCTGCGCCACCGAGCCCAGTAGCAGGCTCGAGCGAAGGCTTTCCCTAAAGGGTCTAAAGTACTACTAAAGGTCCTGGAGCAGGTTCCAGCCATTTCCAGCTTTTCAGCCTCCTTGGCAGGCGAAGCCTTGGAGGTCCGCGTCTTCGTCGAAATGCCAGACGAGGCCCGGGGCCATGCTCCAGGAACCCGCGCCGATTCGAGGCAGGAGATCGGTGAAAGTTGAGAATTGGGTCTTTGGAGCCTTTGGACGTGAAGTTGTTCAGCTGTTACTCTTTTCCAGCATTGCCAAGCAAGCTGAGTACACAGGCCGCTCATGCAATTGCACCAGCTACCAGTCGGGGATTCGTGGAGATCGCAAGATCAAGCGCAGAATGATTGAATTATCCTTGCTTCAATGCTGGAAGTGTGTAAATGTGCAATTGCTGCCACTTCTTCGGTGTTGGTCTTCACTTCCTTAAACGAGGAAGTGAGGGTAGAAGGTAGCAGGAGAGGGCGGCCAGGGAAACATGCGGGTTGCTCTGGCCGGCCTCATTGCTAATGGACTGGATGCACATGGATGCACGTTAGGAGGCGGCAACTTCGCAACCCGTCTCGTACACGTGCATCCAGGTGTTTCGCGACAAGATTGTGCACTGAATTGAGCCGGCCGACGACCCATGGCGAGTCCATAGACACTCGTGTCGGCGGATCGATGTCAGTGCATGAGAGTTGTCCCTCGAGATGCTGCCCCGCAGAGATCGGGTCCAGATCCTGATACTCTGCTGTTGAGCTCAAGGGCTCCAAAGCTGAGCTGGTGCCGAGTGGCACTCGAAGACTCACAGCATGCCCCGCTGTGCTGTGACGACGCAGAAAGGTCAGATCTCAAGAACGGCTTGTTGTAAGGGATGTCTTTCACAGCGGTTGGTGTAGTGTTTACGATGCTTGCGGCCTTTGCCGGTCACTTCACATCAAAGCAGCAATCCCTTGTAATCTGCTTTGCCGTCGTCGCTGTCTTGTCGAAAACACATTCTACGGTCTGTTGCAGCGTATGGTGTTTGTAACGCATTGTTTTCCGAGGGCAGGCTGCTGATAAGGCTGGCGGGGTGTGTCAACAGAAGACAACGATTCGACGCTGCTCCAGCATGGCGCATGCAAGAACATGAAACTCGACGAGGTTGTCAAAGAACTTACGCTCCAACTGCGACTCAGCTTCAGATTTCTGGAACTTGCATTCAGCACAGCTATTCCAACCGAAGCACAGGCACCGCATCTGTTGCAAGCCCACCTGCATGTCACGACGGAACGCGTAGGAGAGTTTGCAACCATTCTGGGTGAGATGATGCCGCGCATCCAGCGAGCAAGCCTTGCTGTGCGCCCAGAGGTATGCCGAGGACCAGGCAACGAATGAAGGGTAGCTTTGTCTTTGTGCTGTGATTGTCATTGCCACTGTGCAGCGCAGCACTTGGGTAAAACACTCTCGCAGCATGTGCAAAGAAGTGCCACAATGGCAGAAACCTGAAAACACCGCAAGCAATCGGATGGCACGAGCTCGAACAGCTCTGCTAGACTTTGGATCCGCTTGGAGTGTCTAGCACATCATGTTCATGTGGAAGAACTAAAATCTTGAGACCAGCCAGTGTTTCCTTGCACAGATTCTAGATTCATGAATGCTGTCCTGTCATTGACTTGTTTGTCCTCGCTTACTCGTTGAGGCGTTCGGTCCATGTATATAGAATTCCGCAACAGGACTTTCTGCCCCTCCTCCAGCTTTCCGTAGGTGTTTAAGTCTCCGCATTGTCGGGAGCGGTGAATCCAAGGTGCTGCGAAGTCTTGCTCTTGTCGCCATTTGTGCCGCCTGGGACCGCTGCAGTGAAGTCACCGTTGGGAGGTACAGGGACCTAGTATGACCACTGCGTGACACAGAGAAAGTCCAGTATTGCAAGCCTTCTGAGGCGTTTAATGCTAGGCTTGGACAAATCATGTTTGGTAATCGACAAGCTTAAGCCGCGTCTGACTGGTGCACGCTGACAGCTGGAGGACTTGGCATTACGTCTGAGGCTCAGATGGTAGTTGATCTAAAGCTCCTTGAGCCATTGTTTGTATGCACGGCCAACTGCATGGCTAAACATGCCTTCGCGCAAGTTCCGCGATGGTGCCGCTAAAGTTAATTTTTCTGCGAAAGTTATCTGTTTAGCCTACTTGCCGTATTACTATTATTACTGCTATTACATTACTATTGCTATTGCTAGTACCATTACGATTACTATTACTACCAATTCCATTACTACTATTACTACTATTTCTACTA